CCGAGCTGTAAGGCTAGGAGCTGGGATCAGGCAGATCCCTGCACATTCGTACCCGGCGTGTCTGGACTGGGTACAAGGAAGGCGAGGAGGCCCACAAGGTGTGGTGGCCTGGTGCTGCTGGGCTTTGCCATCTGCCCCTGTCCACATGGACACCCCAACACTTGCTGTGTCTTGGCTCCACGCTGTCCCCTGGGAACTTTCCCTTGTGACCCATTACTCCAAAGACAAACTGAGGCTCAGGGAGCCCACCTTGTTGGGCACCCTAACCACCTGACAGTCCCAGATGGTGGCCCTAGCGGGTCGGTCAGTCCAGAGAAGCTGGCCTGGCCCCTTGGTGTGTGCTCAGCATCTGTTCCCAGCCTGCGTGTCTGCCCCGGAGGCTGGAGGACCGCCCGCTCGGCAGCCTTGGCTTGGCCAGTGCCCAGAGTCACCCCACGGCCACCTGAGGACTGGGCCGCCTTTCTTCCTGCCCTGCGACGTGGGGACTAAAGGGGCCTTTGTGTGCTCCGAGCCCCGCAGGGCAGCGAGCATCCGCCCTCCGGGCATTCCTGCAGCCACTGAGGAGCCGAGCCAGGTGTGGGCCACCCTGGAGGCCGGTGGCAGCAACTGGGCCCAGTACCGCCCAGGAGGCTAGACTGAGGGTGGGGTACAGGCTGGACAGGCCTTAGGCCACCGGACCCCTCTTCAGGGCCCCAGTGCAGACCCAGAGAGTGAGGAGAGGTGGAAAGGCCCCAGCCGGCCTCCCGTCCCCATGGAAACCTGACAGCCCCTGCATCAGTGTGGTCTGGATGCCAGCCAGCACTGGGTTTCCGTCGAACGGATCTTCCCCCTTCAACACCCAGCTTTTCTCCAGTCACTGCACGGGGGCTTCTAGGGAGGGCTTCCAGGCCTCCAGTGGCAGAGGCTCGGGGCTCATGGGGACATTGCTCAGTCCAGACCAAAAGGCTAGCAGCCAGGGTCCGCTATGAGCTAGCTTAGGGACCCATGTGAGGGTACCCCCTCCTCTCCTTTCTAGCACCTGTTCAGTGGAGCTCACCCCTTCTTTTATCCTCCGTTCATGTTACACAGTGGGACAGGGGCAGTTTGAGGTCCTCCTGGGCCTGGAACAGAGTAGGTGTTTTGGGAATGTCTGTTGAACAGGACAGAGAGCTGGCCAGCCGATGAATGGGTGGAAGGAAGTGAGGAGAGAAGGTGGATGGGTGAGTTGGAGATGTGTGGATGAACGGAACAGTCAGTGGATATGGAGATGGGTGGACGGATGAAAGTGGACGCAGCAATGACTGGAGATGGGTGGATGCCTGAATGGCATCAGGATGGCTGGAGAAGAGATTGAAACTGTCAACAGCTTCATCTTACTTGGATCCACAATTAAGACCCTTGGTAACAGCAGTCAGGAAATAAGGAGATGCGTTGCACTGGGAAATTCTGCACTTAGAGGCCTTTCCAAATTACTGAGGGGTATGATGTTAGTTTGAGGACTAAGGTGCATCTGATTCAGGCCATTGGCCTTTCCAGTCACTTGCTATGCATCTGAGAGCTGGACAGTGAATAGGGATGACAAAAGAACTGATGCCTTTGAGCTGTGGTGTTGGAGGAAAGCACTGAACATCCTGTGAACGGCCAAGAGAATAAACAAATATGTCTTGGAGAGGGTGCAGCCAAAGTGCTCTTTGGAGGCAAGAGTGATGAGGCTTCACCTCACGTACTTTGGCATGTTGCTAGGAGGGGCTGTTCCTTGGAGAAGGACATGATGCTGGGAAGGGTGGAGGGTCGGTACTAGAGTGGATGAGTGAGTGGGACAGGGACACGATGTTTGGGAAGGAGAGGAAGACCGTCAACCAGGTGGACTGACACAGTGACTGCTGCAATGGGCTCTAGTGTGTCAGGAAGTGTGAAGATGGCGCAGGAGAGGACGGGGTTCAGATCTGCTGTTAATAGGGTTGCCATGAGGCATATTCGACGGCCCCTAACAACAGCAGATGGACGGGTAGATGGGTATGTGAGTGGATAGATGGTGAGTGAATGGAAGAGTGGATGGGAGGATGGTAGGTACTGGAGTGGGTGAATGAATGGTGGGGAGTAGATGGCTGGGTGACTGTTGTGGGTGGCGGGTAAATGATGGGTGGGTGAGTGAACGGAAGGATGAGTGAGTGGGGGGTCGTTAGGGAGGTGGGAGGGGGAGGGAAGGGTGGGTATGTAGGTGGGTCAACAGAGACATGGTGGGTGTGTGGATGCATAGAGATGGGGGTGTGTAAGTACTAGAGTGGGTGAAGGAATGGTGGGTGAATGGATGGATGGCGGTGTATGTGGGTGGAGGCCTGAGTGAGTGGGTGAGCGCTGGGTGGGTGGCTGGATAGATGGATGGTGGGTGGGTACACAGAGGGATAAGTGGGTCCCTGGGTGGGGGTGGACTTTCAACTTCCTGGCAGGATCATGAGGATTGATGAGAAAATGTGAGCTGAGACTCGTTCAGGGCGTATCTGGCTAGAGAACAGGGGTTTGGTAAAGGAGCCCTCCTGGCGCTGTGGTTCAAGCACTCAGCTGTTAACCAGGAGGCCGTTGGTTCAAAGCTCGTGGGAGAAAGCTGAGGCTGCCTGCTGAGGGGCGGCGGTGTCCTGTCCTGAGGCTGCTTGGAGTCAGAATGGTCTCCATGCTGTGGGTTTGGTTTTGAGAGGTTTGAAACCTGGTTTAGTCTGGGTGCCTCCTCGTTCTCCTATGTAGCAGCTGCTGGCTTTGAACCGGTGACTTTTTGGTTACGGTCCCATTTCATGAATGGGAAAACTGAGGCACCTCAAGATTAAGTAGCCAGGAGTCGATCACAGACGGATAGGTTCCTCCAGGACACAGAGCCCGGATCCTCTTCTCTGGGTCCTCCTTCAAACAAGGTTTTTGGTGACCTGTGTGTCTCAGGTCTCTGGGTCAAGTGGGGACAGCTCTCTTGCCCACAGGACAGAAGCTGCTGGACTCGCTGGCAGAGACGTGGGACTTCTTCTTCAGCGACGTGCTACCTGCCCTGCAGGCCATCTTCTACCCAGTGCAGGTGAGAGGCCCCGCGGGGGACAGGGTGCCACACCCCGGGGCAGCAGTGGTCCACCCAGGACAGAGGAGGCCCGATGTCTCTTGTTAACCATTTGCAGATGTCCATGCCTCACTCAGCCTGTCCCCACACCACAATGACCACAGTGCCAGCCGTCCTCGAGACAAGGCTTATGTGGAGATGGACATGGGCAGGGAGGAGGAGGTCCAGCCCCGTGGCTGGGGACGGGAGGCAGGGACAAGCCCCTGTTAGGGTGGTAAGCAGCATAGGCCCCCATCCACTTCTCTGTCCCGTTCTGACATCAGCTTCCCAGAGTCAAGTCAGACCCCAGGCACCAGCCACAAGTTGGTGGGTCCCAGGGTAGCCTCACTTCTCACCTCCTGGCTCTAAGCTCAGGGTCTCCCTGGAAGCTGCAAGTGTGGGGTCCAACTCTCTGACCCTTGACCTGTCAGCCCCTTATCCCCTGGGTCGATGACTCACTGTAACTACTCAGAATCCATGAGACATGCTGACTTGGGGTGACAGCTTTATTGGGGGGCAGAAGGTGCGAAGAGGGACACAAACATGAAGCTAGTGTGGACCTTCAGAGTGTCACCATCCACAACTCAGGAGCAAGGCCTCCAGTGGGGGTCCCTCGACTTTGAGCCCCTTCCCTGAGCCCAGTCACTGCCACCAGATGGACTTTCCAGCCTGGCCAGCCCCCCGGGGTCATCTCATCTCACCCCCAGCCCAACAGTGACCAAAACCCAGTTCCTGGGCCTCTGTCTCAGGAACCAAGGGCCAGATTCCCCAGTGGAGTCCTGGTCCTCCCCACTCGTGACGGCGTTGGGGTGCTGCCCTGTGTCTGCAGGGCAAGGAGCCGTCGGTGCGCCAGCTGGCCCTGCTGCACTTCCGGAACACCATCACGCTGAGCGTGAAGCTGGAGGACGCGCTGGCCCGCGCCCACGCCCGCGTGCCGGCCGCCATCGTGCAGATGCTCCTGGTGTTGCAGGTGGGGAGTTTGGGGGGTTGGGGCTGCAAGTGGAGGACTGGGCCTGCAGGAGGGCTGGGCCTGCATGTGGGGGGCGGGCTGGGACTGCAGGAGGGCTAAGCCCACAGATAGGGGTGCTGGGGCTGTAGAGAGACGCTTGTCCTGCAGGTGGGAGTCCGGGCCTGCAGGTGGGGGTCTGGGGCTACAGGGGGGTGCTGGGCCTGCATGTGGGGAGCTAAGGCTGTAGGTTGGGGCTGGGACTGCAGGGGTGCTAGGCCCACAGGTAGGGGTGCTGGAGCTGCAGGGGGTGCTGGAGTTATGAGGGGTGATGGGCTGCAGGGGGGTGCTTGTTCTGCAGGTGGGGGGCTGGAGCTACAGGCTGGGACAGCAGGTGGGGACCAGAGCAGGAGGGCACTCAGAAAAGGGGACCAGGCTGGGTTGGGGGCGTACACACAGAAGAGGCTGGGGAAGAGTGGGACTGGGGGCAGGTGGGCATGTAGAAGAGGGGGATGGGGATGGGGGTATGCAGAAGGCTGGGCGCCCATGGAAGGGGGCAGAGTAAGGGTGTAGGTTCTAGATAGTGGAGGCTCAGAAGCGCAGCCACGGGGGCCCAGAGTGTGCAGGACCCCTCAGGTTGCCCCTGGCAGAGGCTGGGCAGGGTCTACTCTGGTGGCTGTGGGCCTCAGACGCCGAGTGCTGCTGTGACAGAAATATCACACGTGGGTGGTGGTGTTACTTGGCGCCACCACGTTGGTCCTTGCTCACAGTGGCCCGTGTGTCACCAGACCACTGCTGCCCACGAGCCCACTGTGGTAGGCACTGTGTTAGTCCTTCTTGTTGTGGGGTTTCCTCTTTCCCGTGAGCCTCGGCCCATCCTGAGAACACGTCCAGGGTTGATGAGTCTCAGCAGCCTCGTTTCTCGGGGACGTTCTGGCTGCACTTCAGGACAGACAGACTGGGGTGCATCCGGTACCCCTCGCCAGCACTGCAGTGCGAAGTCATCGATTCTTCCCGGGTCTTCCTTATTCCCTGGGCAGCTGTCACATGAGCAGAATGTGACTGCAGAGGCCGGCGTGGGCCAGGCGCACTGAGCCCTCACAGCGACTATGTGCCTGTCGTTGGTTCTGGAGAACAGAAGCGTGTTGTCTCTGAGCTCAGGGCACTGGCTCCAGGGGAAGGTCCCTGTCGCAGCCCCGCTGTCCCCAGCCCTCCTCTACCCCTCAGCCCGTCTCCATACTTGCTCTCCTGTGGCCTCAGCTCTCTTTGTGACTCAGAAGTGAGTGAGGTCTAGGACCCACCCACACAGCTTAGGAAGAAATACCATTGCTATCAAGTCAATTCCAGCTCACGGCGGTCCCGAGTCTACAGCACAGAACTGAGCTCTGGGCTTCCTTGGCTGGCATCTGTATAGGAGCCTGCCTTCTGAGATGCCACTCAGTTCATTGCCAAGCACAGATGGTGTCACTCTGGCACCTCCCTACACGGATGGCTCCACTTACTCTTTCTTCTTTTACTGTCCAGTCAGAATTGACTCACTGCTGACCCTCCATTGGGTCCAAAGCCACTGTTCTCACTAGAGGAGACGGTCTTTCTCCTGCAGAGCAGCTGGTGGCTTTGAACCACCTGCCTTCAGGATTCCAGCGTCCTGTTTTCACTCAGTTGTCTGTGTCCCCAGCACCAGCACTTGGTGGGGTGGTGCTGCCACCTGTTGGCCGCCCAGTTTCCTGCAGCTCCCAGCTTCTCTTGGGGATTCCTGTCTGGGGACGTGGTGGGTGGGCTGACCAGCCGGGAGACTGAGCACTCCTTCTTCTACAGGGGGTGCACGAGTCCAGGGGTGTGACTGAGGACTACCTGCGGCTGGAGGCGCTGGTGCAGAAGGTGGTGTCGCCCTACCTGGGCACCTATGGCCTCTACTCCAGTGAGGGGCCCTTTGCACACTCCTGCATCCTGGGTAGGTCCCCCTGGGCTTGGGGGTGTGGTAGGGGTGTCACTTGGAGCCAGGATGTCCTTTCCTGCAGTGACCACTAGTCCTTTTGCTTCTGCTGGGGGGAGAGGGAAAGAGTCAAAGCTCAGATAGGTAAACTGAACAGATGGGCAAAGAACAGATGGGTAAACTGAGGCCCAAAAAAGGGGAAGCTGCCGGAAGTCATGGCTGAGCCCATCAAAGACTCAGTCATTCAGCACACCTGTCACCACACCCAGCACATTCCAGCCACCTGGAGATGGGTTCTTCCTTTCAGGATGGAGGGGACCAGGTGGACAAGACACCATGAATGGTGATGCCGGCGCAGGGGATGGCCCTTTCTGAGAGGACAGAGGCCCAGGGCTGGAAAATTGCTGGCTCTTCAGAGAGTTCTCCGGGCAGGGGTGGAGAGATGGCCAGGAAGAGTTCAGGGCTATCCTGGCATCTGGCACACCTGAGAAGCCAGCTAGCATTGCATGTTGGGCAGCCAGCTCCCCCGCGGTGTTGCCTGAACCCCCACTTGGTGTCAGCTTGTCCTGGACACTGGGGGTTCCACAGAGACTGAGGCCAGCTCCTCCCCATGACCTCATAGCTGCCCTGGAGGGGCTGAACCTGCAAGAACAGAAGGGGGTGGCTGGTGACCCGAGGGTGTGGGCAGGGTCCATGGGAGGCCTTGCTGTGGAATTGAATGCTGAGCTGAGAGCCGGGCTGGGTAAGTAGATCTGGGGTGTGAGGGGTGCAGAGTCTCAACCCCAGAGTTCTACCCTAGGAGAGCTGTGTGGAGAACCACACTCCCACCCAGACTGGCACCTCAGGGTGGGTATCATGTCCAACCACTGGGCACAGCTCAGATGGCATGCACAGCCACACAAGCATTGTGAGGTACAGGCCAAGACCGCAGCCCCCAGAGGAGCTCACTGGAGCTGCTGGACTCCTGGACCAGGGAAAGCCCAGCTGTGGCCACCTACAGCCATGCTCCCTTGTGGCCGGACTCTCAAACTGCAGGCCCTCCTGTCCCAGTCCACTTGTCACCCACCCACAGTCTCCTAAGAGGGTTTGTCTCCATGCCCCCTCCACATTAGGATGCAAAGAAACTGAGGCGGGGGGCGGGGAGGGGGGACACTTATAGAGTCCCGCAGGCAGTTCCTGACCTGATGTGGCGAGAGATGTGGTCCAGTGTCCAGAGAGAAGTGGCAGCCACCAGAGGACATGACAGGGTCACAGAGGGGAGGGCTTGGTGCCAGCTAGTGAGGGGACCCCACTTTACTCCCCTTTCCTCGGTCATTGCCCACCCTGTGACAAGCTGCCCAGTGGACCGCCTGAGCGGGGCCTGGACCTCACCCTGAAGGGGGCGTGGCTCAGTACTGAGACGATAACCGAAAGGTCAGCAGTTTGAAGCCACCAGCTGCCCCTTGGGAGAAAGATGGGGCCTCTGCACCTGTGAAGATTAAACCCCGAGCCAAATCCATTGCCGTGGCGTCCACTGCCGTGTTCCAATTCCAACTCGAGGTGGCCCAGCGGACAGAAGGACGGGACAGAGATGTCCGATGCGTAGGGCTCCCAAGGTTGTGCATCTGCGCAGGCGCGCACGGCCTTGTTCTGAGGGGCCCCTGAGGCTCTGAACTGAGGCCACGGCCTTGGAGACCTGGGTAGGTGGGAGGGCAGCCCTCTGTCCTCAGGGTCACAGTAGGTGGCAGCGACCCGGGATGTTAATCCTGTTCCTTCGTGCAGAGCTGGGTGTGCAGTCAGCCCTTTGCAGGGAGCCCCCAGGAGTTCGGTTTGCTGAGGCGAATGTCCTTGTCCCTCTGCAGAGAAGCACTGCCTGCGGCGCTCACGCTCCGGCGACGTCCTGGCCAAGAACCCTGTGGTGCGGTCCAAGAGCTACAACATCCCACTGCTGAACCCCGTGGCCGAGCATGAGGCCGAGGGCGCAGCAGGCAGCACGGGCATCCGTCGGCACTCTGTCTCTGAGATGACCTCCTGCCCAGACCCCCAGGCCTTCGCTGAGGCGGCGCACCACTCTGGACCCTGCCCCAGCAGACTGGACCCCTCTGCCCAGGCCACCGAGCCGGGCCTGGACCCCAGCCCTGAGAACCTGGTGGACAGAGTGCTGGAGTCCGCGGACTCGGACTCTGAGGGCATCTTCATTGACTTTGGCCGGCATGGCGGTGGCGAGTTCGAGGCAGGGCGGGGCAGGCAGACCATAGTGTGAGGTCTGGCCGTGTTCACGCACCTGTGTACGTGTGTCCACATGCGTGTGTGTGTGTGTGTGCAAATGTGGGCTGGCAGAGCATGGTGTGAGGTCTGGCAGTGTCCACCTACTTGTGTGTGTGTGCCCACATGCGTGTGTGTGCAAATGTGGGCTGGCAGAACATGGTGTGAGGTCTGGTTGTGTCTGCCCACCTATGTGTGTGTGCACATACGGGCAGGCAGAGCACGGTGTGAAGTATGCCTGGGTTCACCCACCTGGGTGCGTGTGCCGCGTGCATGTGTGTGTACATGCCAGTATGTGCTCTGTGAGTATGTGCAAAAGCACGCTGTGTGTGTGTCGTGCATGTGGGATTTTTAACTGCCCTGTCCTCAAAATCCTCCTTCCCATGGGTCCCACTCGCCTTCCTTTTCCAGAATCTTCTTTGTTGGAAGACCACCAGGCTGTAGCACCCTGTCTGGGCATCTGAATGGGTGACCCCTCCCTCACTTTTACATGGTGTCACCCAGATGCACATCAACCTCATGTCACAGGACAGGGTCAGTCACTTGTTCCCCACCTTCCTGGGCACCTAGAGCCCACAGAGAACAGGAACTCCCAGCTCTGCCAGGCTCCAGACCACCCCAGGATGCTGGCCTCAGGGTGACCAGTGTGCATGGCTCTGTGCCTGCAGCTCTGGGAGTGGTGGCTGGGGTGACCACAGTGGAATAAAGCTCGTCATCCTCACTCCTGGCTCTTGACTGGAGGGGACAGGCTGTCCAGCCATGCTTTGATGGCCTCCACCCCAGGCTCTCCTATTTCTCTTGCTTGTTGACCTGGCCCAAGGGCTCCAGAAAAGCCCGTCTCCAGAGTGGTGGCACGACTGATCTCTGACTCGGTGGGCGCTGAGAGGGAGAGAGTGACAGGACCTTTCTGGCCCTAGTGCTCGGATAGCCTGCAATGTGCCGAGACACGAGAGCTATAGACACCCGGGGACCATCTGTCCCCACTATCTACCTGAGCCTTTTGTGGTCAGGAGCCAGCTGGACAAAGGTCCACTCCCTACCATGAGGGTCCTGACCATTGACAGCTGGTAAACCATACAAGGGAGGGTGAGCCCCAGGGCATCCCTGGGAGCCTCGGGGTGCAGTGGGCAGTAAAAACGCCCAGAACACCCAGGGGCAGGGGGTGACCTGGGCCAGGCACCCCATTCGCAGAGCCGAGTGCAAGTCCAGGAGGAGGGGCTGGGAGTCTTCCCGTGAGGCAGCTGCCCCCGCCATGCACTGCGCTGACCTCTTTAGGATGGGTGTTTTATCTCATGGTCCCATCAGCAAGTGTTCAGGCAGAGGGACCAGTCCTGGGGCCTCAGTCCGTGGACATTCGGGAAGAGCCTGCAGATGAAGGAGCTTGTCCACACACCCAGGTTCTGGGGCAGCCAACCCAAGATGCAGCCTTGAACCTGGCAGAGCCGTGGCCCTGCTGTCTGTGGTGAGGCTCAGGTCACTGACCTTCTGGGGTGGACAGTTTGTGGCCTTGGAGGAGCCTGGGGGTGGTCAGTGTGGCCTCGTGGGTCCTGCCTGGCATCTGAGAACACGACTAGCTCCTGCCCAGGACATGGCACAGCCAGGGGGCCAGCAAAATGCTACTTGTGCCTGGGTACCAGCGAAACAGGCTGCCTGGTGACCTGAACCTCATTCAGCCCTGGTCATGTCTCTGAGAGGGCTCCATTGCTGGGACCCCCACAGCAACAAACACAAACCTGGGGCTCAGGGAATGGGGTTATGGGGCTCGGGCTCAGAATGCAGGGCTCTGGGGCCAGCATGGGCAGTGGGGGCTCCCAGGAAATGAGAGGCTTCCTTTTGCTGGTGGCCAAGCCAGCCTTGGCTTGTCGCTGCCTCATTCCCCTCTGCCTCCATGTGTGTTTCTGTCTCATAGAGACACCAAATTTGGGGCCCACCCTAGAAGGGCTTGGGTTGGGTTAGGTTATGTTGACTACATGCGACTGGGATGCTCCTCACAGGACGGCCAGTGGGACCCCAGCTCACTTTGCTCTGGACACCCCACCAGGAAAGGCTGATTGGTGGGGACACACACTGGGGCTGACGAGGTCTGTTGTGTGTTGCATTAGAACTAACTTGTAGCTGATCCTCCAGCAGATTGTCAGAGGCTGAATTGCACAAGAGGAGATTGCCCATCTTTCTCCCATGGAGCAGCGGGTGGATTCAAACAGCCTACCTTTGGGTTGGTAGGGGAGCTCCTTACTCACTAGGCCACCAGTGCTACCTTGGTAAGATCTAGGAATCAGCAAATATGAGGGATACTCTCTGGATGGAGCGGTGCAGTAGCCAAGACTGGGACGCACACAGCAGTCAGGCGCTTGCACGGACCTTGTCAGTCCTGATCATCGGCAAAGCTCTGTCACAAAGGTCCCATCCTAAGGTTCTGGGTGGATATGGATGGAGGGGGATACTGCTCAATCCACTGAACTTGGCCTCATCCAGGACCACCCAGTTAACAAAGGAGGCACGGGACCCAATCCCAGGGACCTGCATCCACAGTGACCCCCAGACTGTCTCCTCACTGCCTGACCTTGTCTTTGGCCTTTGCCACACCCTGATCACTTCCTCCCTGGACCGGCTGTTTCCTGGGCATTGAAGAACAGGGCACTGCCCACCAGAAAGACTGTGCCCCCCTCCATAGTTATGTTAAAGTCTTAACCCCTTCCTCTGTGAACATGGCCTGTCTACAAAGTTGGACCTCCTCCTGTCACTCAAAGAGCCCTGACAGTGATGGTGTTAGGTGCCACTCAGCACAGATCTGAGCCCTGTCCTGTCCTGTGGCAGCCCCAGTGCCAGCGCACTGAGCCCATTGCTGCAGTCAGCCTGTCAATCCATCTCATTGAGGGTCTTCCCCTCCTTCACCGACCATCTTTCCGTGACGTCCCTTTCTGAGAAGAGCCTCTCCTAGCAACATGACCACAGTATGTGAGACGAAGCTCCACTCTAATTGCACCTTCTTCAAGACATATCTGGTTGCTCTTTGAGTGGTGTAGCCAGAAGGTCATCAGTTCAAATCCATTAGCCAACTTCCTCAACAGTGCTGTGCCCAGACTTTCAGTTCGTGCTGCTAGGGTCTAACTGTACGTCCACACACTAAGTATATTCTGTTCCACTAAGTTCTGTTATTTCTCTGTGCATTTGACCTACTTAACGGCTTCCAGCGCAGCTCCCCAGACAACATCACAGAACAGACCTGATGGGAAAAGGGGGAGCTCACTCAAGGATTCCCAGTTATACCACATACCCACTGCAAACGGGCACTCCCACACCACCAGGAGGGGTCCATCACACAGGGCACCGTCACAGCACCTGGGCATGGTCACTGTACAGAAAGGGTCCAAATAAGGCCTGCTCTCACCACACAGCTGTGACCCCATCACCATCGGTGATCCCCGGACACTGGGAAGCTCCCACCATCAGAAGTTCTCCCATCACACTGGGATTCTCCCATCAATGGGATTTTTCAACCACGATGGATGTTTCCATCACACTGGGATGCTCCCACTACACTGGGATTTTCTTACCAAACAGGAATTCTTCTATCACAGTAGGCTGTTCCCATCACACTGGGATGCTGCCATCATGTGGAATTCCCCCACCACACAGGGATTCCCCTACCACACAGGGATTCTACACACACACACACACACACACACACACACACAGAGGCACACAGGCATTTCCCCCCCCCCCCAAAGGGATTCCCTCACCACACAGGGATTCCCTCACCACACAGGGATTCCCACACACACAGGCATTCCCCTCCCCCCAAAAGGGATTCCCTCGCCACACAGGGATTCCCTCACCACACAGGGATTCCCCCCCACAAGGATTCCCGCCACAGGGATTCCCCCCCACAGGGATTCTCTCACCACACAGGGATTCCCCCACACGCACATACAGGGATTCACACACACACACACACACACACACACACACACACACACACACAGGGATTTCCCCCCACAGGGATCCGCACACAGAGGAATGCTCTATCACACTGAGACTCTTCCCGCCTGCGGAGATGTTCCCATGTCACTATGATGATCCCGTTTCCCTCAGAGACTCGCATCCCATCCAGATGCTCTCACCACGCCAGGATAAAGACACAGCCCACAGAGCGCTCTCTGCATCCCGAGGTAACCCCACGGGACAGCTCCGGGTGCACTGAGGCAAACCCACAGCTTCACCGCCTAGGAAACCAGTGTGTCCAGGGTTTTACTGTTGGGGAAATAAAACTAAAATTCTATTCCCATCTCAGAAGTCCTCTCTGCAAAGACGGGAGCAAAGGAAACGTTTATGACTAAATAAGCATTAGATGGTGGTGATTGGTCTGAACGATCCACGAGAGCTTCAGTGTCGGGGGAAGGAAGCCTTGCTCTTAGGTGCAGCTCAGGGAGCCGAGAAGTGAGGTCCAGGTGAGCCCAACCAGATCTCGGTTTCCTCATGTCATCATGGTCCTGAGCTACCTGGAGTCACGCTAATCTCTTTCCAAGAGTCTGGGAGGGAAGATGTGACCTGCCTTGATGATTATATTTCAAAAGAGGAGGTGCCCAGGCCTTTGAGGAAGCAGGCTAGTTGACAGCTTTTTCAAGGAGGCAGAGAAAGAAAAAAACAATTGCAGATTTTTCAAAAGCAAATACTTAAAGAAAGAACAATTGCCAAGTTTCCAAAAGCACATGCTTAAAGAGCAGGGAGGGAAAGAGGACGTTCTCAACGCTGTTCCATTGTATTTGCTGTTATAGAACTTTGCAGCCACTGCAGGCCCTACACTCCTGAGGCAGACAGTGTGGCCCACTGTCCACACGCAGGCCACTAAAGAACCAAGTAACAGAAGCCAAGGAGGCTGGATCTTCCCCCAAAGCTGAAAGAAAGTCTTCGCCTGGAGGCTGCACCCTGAATTCAGCATCCTTGGTACCAGCACACAGGAAGTCAAAAGATGTGCCGCACTGGGAAAGTCTGCAT